AACTAACATGAGGCATATTCTCTACATATTCGAATATTAAAATCTTGCCTAATCCAAATGATCTGCAAGATATTTTTATAATAAAATAATGTTTAATTTGACGGGACGGGGTTATATGGTGGGACATGTTTGGATCGATGGGACAGTATACCACGGATGAAATCCTAGAATTAAAAATCAAAATAAAATTATACAATTTTAAATACAAAAACATATACAACTTAAAATTTTAAATTTTTAGTTACAAAAAAATCGATCCACAAGAAAAAATATTATACACAACAAATTCATTAGTTTCTAAAAATTATAAAATTAATTCAATATTTTAATCCGCGGTATACCGCGGGTCATATCCTAGTGCAATATATAAGTTTAGAGTATATACAAGACCATGCCTAGAGATTTGGTGGTCTAAAGCATTAAACAAAAAAATATATTATATACATTTTCGTGATAAAATGTGTTAACACTTAACACTATTTTTAATCTATGAAAACAAAATATTGTACTAAATATTATAAATATATAATTTTAAACTATTTTCACAATCTATTTTCTTAGTTAATACTATTTTTATCTATGAAAATTCTAAAATTCGAAATACTATATTTTAAAGTACTAGATATACTAGTTCGTCTCTGCTTCCAAGTGACGGTCTATTCGATTTGGCCCTGCACGGATACATGGTAACGGCTGCGTATCGAGAGCTCACATGACTCGAAACATAGACAAACTCATCCGCAATAGGAAATCGTCTCTTGACTACTCCGCGAAGCCTCGTCTACGCTTACTTCTACAACGATGGCTCATGGTTCGACCATAGCCGCAGGTTTCAAGACCTGTAACATGCTCTGTTTTCTTGCTCATCTCATACTCTGTTTTTAATAGTTGCCTTTTTCCCTAGTTTTTGCTAGAAAGTCAAGTTTAAGACATTTGTACATATTTTTTCTAATTTCGATAAATCATTTACACTTTTAAACAAAAAAAAGTACTAGAGATAACAGTCCTTTTAATATGTTAAACAAAATTTCAAACTTAAGAAAATAACACTTAATATTGAGGGACCTAAGACAAATACCTTTTTTTCTCATAGGCAAGCCCTGAATATATAAGAGATGTTGTTAATAACGAGTTATCTAATATCTACATATGTTTATTATATCGAATTTTGAAATTTTTTACACTAAATAGTTGGGATCAGAACAACTTTTTTATTTTTTATGACAGCCAGAACAAAAGTTTTATAATATCTATACAATCATTCATTTATTATAATACGTAAAAACCAACGACCCCGGCCATTCACTATATATAAACAGCATCGAGAGGTTAGAAGATCTTACATTATACATTCTAACATTGGTAAGAGATGTCAAACCAAAGAAAACCAATCCTTCCTCTATTACTTGAAAAGAAACCAGTTGAGCTTGTTAAACCCGCAAAACACATTACTTGTGAAACTCTCTCCCTTTCTACTTTAGACAACGATCTTTTCAATGAAGTTATGTACGCAACGATCTACGTTTTCAAAGCAAACCAAAAGAACCTAAATGATCCTGTCTCTTTGCTTAGGAAGGCTTTGTCCGAACTTCTTGTTCATTACTATCCCCTTTCAGGCAAGCTGATGAGAGATGAGAGTAATGGAAAGCTTCAGTTGGTTTATCTCGGTGAGGGAGTTCCATTTCAAGTCGCTACATCAACTCTAGACCTCTCCTCTCTAAACTATATAGAAAACCTCGATGACCAAGTTGCTTTGCGGCTTGTGCCTGATATCGAAATCGACTACGAAAGCAACGTTTGTTACCACCCTCTAGCTTTGCAGGTAGCTTTTCATTTTCTTCATTGTATCAATAACATTTTTTTTTTTTGAATACTTTTGTATCAATAACATTGTATCTATATATTTTTTTTCAATACATAATAATTAAGATAATATATTGTTCCCTTTCTTTCTTTTGAAGGTTACCAAGTTTGCCTGTGGAGGATTCACCATTGGGACCGCATTGACACACGCTGTGTGTGACGGATACGGTGTGGCTCAGATCATACATGCCTTGACCGAGTTGGCTGCCGGAAAGACTGAGCCATCCGTGAAGCCAGTGTGGCTGAGAGAGCGCCTTGTCGGAAAAATTGACAATAAACCAGGCAAAGTGCCCGGCAGCCACATTGATGGCCTTTTGGCCACCTCACCGTATTTGCCAACTACTGATGTCGTATGTACTTCCTCCGTATCAAATTAATATCATATTAAGCGATGATTATGCCATTAATATCATATTATAAGATATGATTTAATTAGCTCATTTAGCTTTTAGATCTGTTATATAGAAGAATATATATTAGGTGGATGATCATAATTTATTTAGCTCATTTTGCTTGTATTTTTGTAATAATTAGGTAAATGATTTTATTTTATTTATTATCCAACAGGTCACGGAGATAATAAACATTCCCGCTGGAGATATTAAAAGGCTTAAAGACTCTTTGATTAAAGAATGTGATTACCTTAAAGAGAGTTTCACTACTTATGAAGTACTAAGTTCTTACGTATGGAAATTAAGATCTCGAGCTCTAAAACTAAACCCTGATGGGATCACTGTCCTTGGCGTGGCTGTTGGAATCCGACATGTTTTGGACCCACCACTTCCTAAAGGATACTACGGTAACGCGTACATAGACGTCTATGTTGAGCTGACTGTGAGAGAACTCGAAGAATCATCAATCTTTAACATCGCGAGTCGTGTGAAGAAAGCGAAGAAAACAGCCTATGAAAAGGGGTATATCGAGGAAGAGCTAACTAACACGGAGAGATTGATGAGGGATGATGTTATGTTCGAAGGGATAAGCGATGGATTGTTTTTCTTGACGGATTGGAGGAATATTGGTTGGTTCGGATCGATGGACTTCGGTTGGAATGAGCCCGTAAATTTACGACCATTGACCCAACGGGAGAGCACAGTGCACGTAGGGATGGTCTTGAAACCTTCAAAATTGGATCCATCAATGGAAGGTGGAGTCAAAGTGATCATGAAGTTGCCGAGAGACGCAATGGTTGAATTTAAGCGAGAGATGGCTGCTATGAACAAACTTTATTTTGGTGATACCAACTAAATTAATTAGTTGGTACCTGAGTGAATTTCTGTGTTTGTTAATGAATGCTTTTAAATTAATGTCATTGAATAATGGGTGAAGAATATATGTAATGTTCAATATGGTCATGTAATACTTAATCTGCTCATGACATGAATAATGAAGTTCGGTATTTCCATTCGAATTTAGAAATACTAAAAAGTAAAAACACATGACATGTCTTTAAATATTTCATTAGATATAGTTTTTAAATTAATCAGTTTGTGTTTTTCTTTTTTGCACTTGTGTCCTCTTATTGTACTTAACATGTAGCTGATATGAGAAAAAGATAGCATTAAATCTTCATTTCTGATAAGGTTTGAGGTATGAAACTCTTCTTTATTCCTTATCCTTCAACGATTACAATGTTTCCAAGCCCTAACAATGGAGATTTGTTCAAGAGATTTCCTAACTATCCTCTAACAAACCATACGTTTGTTAATTACACACATCAATACATGCATAAATACTTCAATACTCTTCTATCTATTTATATACAACTAACTAGACTTTCAAATGGTTACACAATCTGTTTCTTCTTGCTCTGTTTTAATAGAGGCTAGTTGTTCACAAACACTCAGCCGTCGATATCTCGTTCTTCTTAGTAGTTTGCAACTCTCTTTAATTATAACTCAAAACTGGAAGAAGAGTAGAAGACACACGGTTAAGGCTAGAACAATCCATACCTCTTGAAATGTTGTAATACTAACCACTTAAGTGAGGATATCTTTCGAGAGTGAGCCTAAAACCCTAGTTTTACTAACACATGTAATCATCAGGTAGAATCAAGAGATCTAATAAGAGTTTCTCCATTGGGAGTCTCTCATTAAAATTAAATTAAAAAAAATACTCTTTCTACATACAAGTTTTTGCACACATATTAGAAAATCACAGAAGCTCATTTAATTTAGGGGTTATGTCCAATTGGACATTTGTCAGCCCAAAACTTTCATTTTGGGTATTTCTACCCACACTCTCAAGATTAGGCATTTTAGGGATGGATGAAAAGACAACATTGCCCTGCTCTCTTCTTTTCTCGAAGAGAAAAATCGTTCGGCGGGATAATCGGTTGAAATCGGCCACTGCTCCGCCGATTTGACGCGCCGGCCACTGTTGAGAAATTATGTGGCTGATAATTGTCGATGTGGCAAGTTGGGTTAGTGGATTAGGGTTAGGTCTCAAAGAGAGGCAGATATATTCATATATATATGATATGCCGTTCTGTGGACATTGGAGAAAGGTAATAACAAAGTTATTGTCTTGAACGTGAAAGAATCTCAGTAAAAAGGAGCTATAGAAACATTCAGCATCCAACCGTTTACGTGTGGATAGTCATTGGTAATTATGGAGGAAGAGGTATGTTTTAGTCTTTACAATTCTTAACAAAAACTAGATCCAAATAAATGTGTTTTCATAAAAAAGAATCTAAATCCTACCAAAAAAATAAAATAAAAAAGAATCTAAACGCTAAACGGATGATGTATCGAGAACTTAAAGATTCCAATCTTAAACACGAATTTAATCAATTAATAATTTTAATTCTTTACAAATTGATTAACTCAAATTCTGAAAACGGTGAACCCAAAGTAAACTCTTAAAAGTTACAACAACATTTTTTACAACCAAAATCTTCACGGCTAAAAGCTTGCCTAAAAGTAAAAAAAGTCTATCGCACTACTTTTACTTAGCGATTAAAAATAAAAATCATAATATAAAACACTACTTGGTTAACTATAACCAAAAGTAATTCGAAAGAATTCAAACCAAACTGAACCGAAAATCGGTTTAGGTGTAGTAGAAGCCTGAGAAACCCAGCTGAGTTCTAAAAACTTCTTAACTCTTCGAATCGAAGTTTCCCGAACTAATTCTAAATTCTTCTACAAACTTCTTCTGCCTCATTCTCCAAGCAAAAAAACCTCCGTCTTCTTCCTCTTCATCTTCTCAAAACCCTAAAACCTAAAGAACACTTGCTTCAATTTACCTCACATGGCGTCAAGGAGATTATCCAAATCTGTTTCCTCAGTCATCAAAGCTCAATATACTCTCTCGAAACCACCTCTTTTCCTCCGTTCTCGTCCTCTCTCTGCTTCTTCTCACTACACCTCTCCCAATTCCTCTATTTTCCGAACAAATTCATTCATCAAAATCGCCGCTAACAACAACTCTTCCATCACTCAGACGACTACTCATGGCCAACTCTTACCTCTTTCTCTTCAATTCCCTTCTCCGCGACGCTTCTCCACCACCACTGCTCAGGTTCGTCATCGGTTACATGGCGATTTCAATTTTAATCTTGGAACTGTTTGTTTTTGTTTTTGAATTACTAAGAGGTTCTAGGCCCATAGCCAGGACCAGAGCATTTTATATGTTACCGGCGACCTCTAGGCTTTACCTGAGTTGTTCATTATCGTTTTAGTGATGATAATTTGTTGTTTATGTAGATTAATCAAAATGAGTTTACGGAGATGGCATGGGAAGGGCTTATCAATGCCTATGATGCGGCTCGTGAATCGAACCAACAAATCGTTGAATCTGAACATTTGATGAAAGCTCTTCTTGAGCAAAAAGATGGTATGGCCAGAAGAGTATTCGCCAAAGCCGGAATCGACAATTCCTCTGTTTTGCAAGCTACCGACTTGTTTATATCTAAACAACCAACGGTATTAGCAACTTAGTTTCTTTTCTTTCTGTGTATCATCAGAACATGGTTTAACTTACATTTCTTGTGATTTTGCAGGTTAGTGATACAGGTGGTCAGAGACTAGGGTCATCTCTTAGTGTTATATTAGAAAATGCAAAGAGGCATAAGAAAGATATGTTAGATAGTTATGTATCTGTGGAACATCTTCTTTTGGCCTTTTATTCTGATACAAGGTTTGGTCAAGAATTTTTCAAGAATATGAAACTTGATATGCAAGTGCTTAAGGATGCTATAAAAGATGTACGTGGTAGTCAACGCGTAACTGATCAAAGTAAGTTTTGTGTTGGTACTCTCATGATGTTTTAGTGACCTTAGCCTACCCTCATGATGTTGTGCTACACATGTAGATCCTGAGAGCAAATATGAAGCACTTGAAAAGTATGGAAATGATTTAACTGAGATGGCTAGACGAGGGAAACTTGATCCGGTCATTGGGCGGGATGATGAAATTCGGCGTTGCATTCAGATATTATGTAGGAGAACAAAAAACAATCCGGTTATTATTGGTGAGCCTGGTGTAGGGAAAACTGCAATTGCAGAGGGGTAAGATTTGTAGCTATATCCCTTGTTTTTCTTTTCCTTACAAAATCTCAGAAAATTATGTTTTTACTCTTTGAGAACTTTTAAATTTTTCAGGTTGGCTCAACGAATTGTGCGAGGAGATGTCCCTGAGCCTCTCATGAATCGAAAGGTTCATTCCAGTAAATTAAGAATTGTTTACAGTTTTCTTGTAGAAAGACTTGAGGAAGATTTTAATATGTTTGGCTTGTTTTCTTTATCATGTAGTTGATATCTCTCGACATGGGTTCACTTCTTGCTGGTGCCAAATATCGAGGAGATTTTGAGGAAAGATTGAAAGCAGTATTGAAGGAAGTAACTGCTTCCAATGGGCAAACAATCTTGTTCATTGATGAGATCCACACTGTTGTTGGTGCAGGTACTTTTTTCATTTTATCCACCACATACTATAAACATTGATGAATTTTTTTATGCATATGCATATACGGCACTCCCCAAGTAAACGTGGTTGAGTAGAAGAACATTGCATTGCCAAAGTAAGGGTTAAAATGGAGATGAAAAGTTATGGTTAAGATATTGAAAGATTACTAATGTTATTAATCTTGTTTCTTATGTCTTTTGACTCACTTTAGTACTTTGTTATTGGTAAGATGAAACTAACGAATTGGCTACTATTTTACTCTTATTTAGGAGCTATGGGGGGAGCAATGGATGCGAGCAACCTCTTGAAACCAATGCTTGGACGAGGTGAACTGAGATGCATTGGTGCAACTACACTGACCGAATACCGAAAATACATAGAGAAAGATCCAGCTCTAGAGCGTAGGTTTCAACAAGTGTTATGTACTCAGCCCTCTGTTGAAGATACTATCTCGATTCTTCGTGGGTTAAGAGAGCGATACGAGTTACACCATGGCGTTACTATATCAGATAGTTCCCTTGTTTCAGCAGCAGTTCTCGCAGACCGATACATCACTGAACGCTTTCTGCCAGACAAAGGTATGGACATGCACTTTCCCTGATTCTAACCAGTTTTCTTGGGAAACGTTTGACCATAGTATTGTTTTCTAAGGTGAATGTTCTTTGTTTCAGCTATTGATCTTGTTGACGAAGCTGCTGCAAAGTTGAAGATGGAGATAACTTCTAAACCAACTGAACTAGATGAAATAGATAGAGCTGTGATCAAATTGGAGATGGAAAAGCTTTCTCTTAAAAATGATAATGATAAAGCTTCTAAAGAACGGCTACAGAAGATTGAGAATGATCTGTCCACGCTCAAACATAAACAGAAAGAACTTAGTGACCAATGGGAGAACGAAAAGTCGCTCATGACTAAATACGTTCATTTAAGGAAGAGGTAAGATCATTCTTCATCACTATGCCTTTTCGGCTGAATGTCTTATAAAAATAATGCTTACGACACTCGCAGTTTTTTGTTCTAAATAGTACTTTTAGTTGTTGTAGTACTTATGGTGGTTACTTATGTTGTTGGTATATATCAACCTTAATCTCCTCCGTAACATGTTCTATGTTTTACAGATTGATCGAGTTAACCTCGAAATTGAATCTGCTGAACGTGAATATGATCTAAACCGAGCTGCTGAGCTAAAGTATGGAACACTTTTGTCCCTCCAACGCCAATTAGAAGAAGCTGAGAAGAATCTCACGAATTTCCGACAGTCTGGACAGTCACTACTCAGAGAAGAGGTTACCGATCTTGACATAGCAGAAATAGTAAGCAAGTGGACTGGTATTCCACTATCTAATCTTCAGCAATCAGAAAGAGAAAAGCTGGTCATGTTGGAACAAGTGCTCCACCATAGAGTTGTTGGTCAAGACATGGCTGTAAAATCAGTAGCAGATGCTATCCGACGTTCAAGGGCAGGCCTTTCTGATCCTAACCGCCCAATAGCTAGTTTTATGTTCATGGGTCCAACAGGTGTTGGTAAGACCGAGCTTGCCAAGGCTCTAGCGGGTTACCTTTTTAACACTGAAAATGCAATAGTGAGGATCGATATGAGTGAGTATATGGAAAAATTCTCAGTCTCGCGGCTCGTTGGTGCACCACCTGGCTATGTTGGTTATGAAGAAGGTGGGCAATTAACTGAAGTTGTTCGCAGGAGACCTTACTCGGTGGTTCTGTTTGATGAGATCGAGAAAGCCCACCCTGATGTCTTTAATATCTTGCTACAACTACTAGACGATGGAAGAATAACTGATTCTCAAGGGAGGACAGTAAGTTTCAAAAACTGTGTTGTAATTATGACGTCGAATATAGGATCTCACCACATACTTGAGACCCTCCGCAACAACGAAGACAGCAAAGAAACAGTTTATGAGATAATGAAGCGACAAGTTGTGGAGTTAGCAAGACAAAATTTTAGACCCGAGTTCATGAACAGAATTGACGAATACATAGTTTTCCAGCCGCTGGATTCTAAAGAAATCTCCAAAATCGTAGAGTTACAGGTAACAAACCCTTTTACACTCACTTTTCTTTTCAGAATCTTTATTCTTCTATCCATTAATTAGACGTATTTTAAACCCTTTTACATGTCTAACGTATGTTATAACATTCGTGTAACGAGCAGATGAGACGGGTGAAGAATAGGTTGGAACAGAAGAAAATCAATCTTCAGTATACAAAAGAGGCAGTGGATCTCTTGGCTCAGCTTGGCTTTGACCCCAACTACGGGGCGAGGCCTGTGAAGCGAGTGATTCAACAGATGGTGGAGAATGAGATTGCTGTCGGGGTTTTGAAAGGAGATTTCGCAGAAGAAGATACCGTTCTTGTCGATGTTGACCTCTTGGCTAGTGACAACAAATTGGTTATCAAGAAGCTCGAGAGTAATGCACCAGAAGAGATGGCCGCTTAAGTATATATACAAACAAAATTAGCCTATTCGGGTTAGCGTTTTTAACTCTTTTGTAGATTCGTACTTTAGTGTTGATCTCTTTTCTAACACGTACGGATTGTTTGGTTTTAGAGGACTATCTTTTGCCGACAAAAGTTAATGGGAACACACCGACATTTGCATTTGAAATTATTAACTTCGAGCGGTGAAAAATGTGTTAAAGATCATTTATGGACGTAACATTGTGGTACTATTATAGAGTTAGTTCCAGATCTGATTTTCGAGTAAGGAGATTACAAAATCAAATTGAAGAAACGTTTAATAAAAATATTAAACACGTTCTCATGTCGCTAGAATTGAATCTCTTTAATAGCTTCCGACACTGAAAATTTGTTTATTCAGACAAGTTTCTTATTAATTCCTTTGTCTGATATTTAAATCGAGTTAGTATGCTTATTAGTGATATAGTATTAGTTAGTGACTTTGAAATGTAAGTCGTGTCTTGTAATGAGGGGAAACAACCTGGTACATCCAGTCTTAAATAATTAAAATTTAATTATCGTTTTCTAGAATTGTACTTTTGAAATTGTGAAATGAGCCTACCAATTAGAAAATTTAGAAGGAACATCTTGTATTTGCAACGTTGCTAATGAACATCTTGTACTTTCGTTGTGCTTGGAAGAAAGAGTGTTTATTTTTCATTTCTTCTTTATGTAGCCTAATCAAAATGAGTATCCAGAGATGGCATGAGAAGGGCTTCTCAACGCCTTTGATGCATCTCATATTCTCATGTTTCGAAGCAACAAATCGTAGAATCCGAACACTTGATCGAAGCTTTTATGGAGCAAAAAAGAGTGATTGCGAACACTGATTACTGTGTTGTTGCGTAGATGAACCTTAAACAGTGAAGGTTTTTTATTATTTTGATGGCGAATCGTGTGGTGATGGAAGAATATAGTAATGAATCCGTGACGTTTATGGTGAAGGATTACTCTCGAGCTTAATTCGTTAAACAAAATTGACACTTAACGTACGTGGGCGATGATAAAAAGAAAGCTGACAACAAAATTAACACTTAAAGTGGGCGATGAGATGTATGATTGGCGCTGACAATCAAGACGTAACATTTTTTACAAATTATTCAGATCTGGTTAAGATGATGTCTTTTTTAACCGAAATGGTAGCTTTTTCAGCGTACTTGGAGGACTTTAGAGTGACAAGGAAGAGTTTTTTTACTTTCTCTTTATCTTTAGTTCTTGTAGAGAAAATATTAAAGCGGATAATTTGGCATGGAAAATCTATACCGAACCGTATCTTTCAAAATATGTAATCAACATTCTGAGGTTTGACTCGTTTGAATGGAATTAATATATAGTTGTTGAAAAAAAATTGTGTTAACAAAATGTATATCTTTGAGGATCAACTATTTTAATCCTTCAAAACGACTCCAAACCCAACTATAAAAGTGAAACTTCTGAATTCTCAATCTTAAAAATAAATATTCTCTAGATCTCTATAATATTTTTTTGCAAAATAAAAAAGTCGCTAAAATCTCTCTAAAATCATGGGCCTGATTGGCAAGTGCTTTAGAGTCTTTACAAAGCAAAAAAAATTCTAAAGCATTGAAATAGATCCAATCAAGCTTTAGAAGCTTTAGCTTTCCTTTTTTTTCTCACAGCCAAAATATTTCCATAATTAATTTTTTTGGCTGTAGAAAGCCTTTTTTTCTAAAGCATACAATTTTCAACTTTCCAAAATTTTAAATGCTACAGCAAAAAATACTACAGCACTAAAATCTACAGTCACAGCCAAAACATCTACAGCCTAAAATCTACAGTAAAAAATCTACAGCTACAGCCGGAACCAATCAGGCCCATATATTTCCTCTGTTTTCGCTTCCAAACAAAACAAACCATAAAAAAAACAGAACAAACTCTTTTCTTTTGTTCTCTCTCTCTCTATCTTGCTACCTCAAGCTCTATAGAAGTGATCGGCGATAATGGCAAAGTGTCACCGTAACAATGTAGATTCTCTCATCCTTCATCGTATTCCCTCCGCTTCTTCTTCTTCCTCTACCTCCGGAAACACTTTCTCCGGATCATCATTGCGCAGGATCATCTTCGACGCAATTAGCTGCGGTGGTAGCTCTCGTTACCAACGTGAACTCCGAGAAGAAGACGACGAAGATGCTTCGAAATCGACAATGATGGGAAATGATTCAGCGAGGAAATCTGAGAAGCTTTGTGATCTGTTAAACTTAGCGGTGGTTGAGAGTTGTGTAGAGACGAAGAAGAAGGAGGAAACACTTGAGATTCTAAAACGTGTTGTTAGAGATTTACAAGTGGCGGCGGAGAAGAAAATAGCGGCGGCGAGTGAGGTTAGATTGTTAGCAAAAGATGATATAGAGGCGAGAGTGACACTTGCAATGCTCGGTGCGATCCCACCGTTGGTTAGTATGATCGACAACGACGAAGATGCGCAAATCGCTTCGCTTTACGCTCTTCTCAATCTCGGAATCGGCAATGATGTGTGAGTTTCTTTAAGTACATTTTGAGTTTTGTTTCCATTGCATTTTGCATGTTCCAAATACATTTTGAGTTTGATTTTTCGAATATTTTTCCGATTTTCCGAAGATTTATGAATGGTTTTTGTTGTTGTTGGTTTGCTTATTTTAGGTAAATGATAGAGAACATTTAATAGTTATGTCACTTTCAATGATATATATTTTTTTGGGTTTGATCTGTTTTAGTTATATGTTTTTTCTGAAGCTAAGAACTTGGAAAAGTTGAAGCATTAAATTCAATCATTTGTAAGAATGACATATGGTTATATTCTCTGAATTTCAGGAACAAAGAAGCCATTGTAAAAGCAGGAGCTGTTCACAAAATGCTGAAGCTAATTGAGTCATCAAAAACCTCCTAATCAAGCGATTTCCGAGGCTATTGTCGCTAATTTCCTAGGGCTAAGCGCGTTAGATGCCAATAAACCGATCATCGGTTCCTCGGGTGCAATGATCTTTCTAGTGAGAACTCTGAAAAACTTCGAGGAAACTAGCAGCTCAAGACAAGCTAGAGAAGACGCTCTTCGAGCTCTTTACAACCTTTCAATCCATCAGCAAAACATTTCATTCATCCTCGAAACCGATCTGATTCCTTTTCTCTTGAACACATTGGGAGACATGGAAGTAAGCGAGAGGATTCTCGCCATCTTAACCAATGTGGTATCAGTCCCTGAAGGACGGAAAGCGATCGCGGGTGTGGTTGAAGCGTTTCCTATATTGGTAGATGTACTGAATTGGAATGATTCTGTAAAATGTCAAGAGAAAGCTATTTACATCCTTATGTTACTGGCTCATAAAGGGAATGGAGATCGGAAAGCGATGATCGAAGCGGGTATTGAATCTTCATTGCTTGAACTAATACTTGTAGGAAGTCCATTAGCGCAAAAGCGAGCCTCGAGGGTACTAGAGTGTTTGAGAATGGTGGACAAAGGGAAGCAAGTTTCAGCTCCGGTTTATGGAATATCTTCTTCTTCTTCATTGGGTAGAGAGAGAGGTCATGATCTTAGGATGAGTGCTGAGAGTAAAGCAGTGAAGCAGTTAGTGCAACAGAGTTTACAGAGCAACATGAAGAGGATTGTGAAGAGAGCTAATTTACCACATGACTTTGTTACTACTTCACAGCATTTCTCAAAGAGCTTAACTTTCTGAATCCATGAAACAAAGTTTGTATCATTTTCCAATAAAATTTGTTACTAGAAATACCTAAAAATATACTTTTAATTACCTTTTGACTACTTTTAACTATTTTTAATTTGACACGAAAAGTTCTTACCGAACCGCATTATATTACATATGTAAACAACGTTCTACATGATTGACTCTTTTGAGCTATATTAATTTAAGCTGTTGACAAAAAGAAAAAACTTTTTGACTAAATATTATCACCACGTTTATTTGAAAAACGAATTTTTTTTGTACCAAAAGAGTATTTTAGTCAGAATTTAAATATTTTACAAAATCTAACTAAAATAATTATGCTACTGATTACGATGCTAATTTATTTTTTGGATAAAAGCTATTTTTATTTAGTTGTTTTCTATTGAAGTTTTGAACATTCTTGATTTAGGTTAGAACTTAGAACCATAAATGGTTTGCTAACTTTCTATCCAAAGTTAGCAGGGTCAGTGACAGTGGCGTCGAGGGTAATTACAGGGAAGATAAGGAGTACTAATAGAGTCTGATTTGGATCCAATAAGGTTTTTATATTTCTTCATGTCATTTCTAAGACCCCAATATTGCCATCAAAGATATATTTCATTTTTTTGACAAAAGAAAAGAGAGATCCATCATCTGCATTAATTAAGCATGCATTGGTCCACTCGTGAATCGTGCATATAGTAGTGTCCATTAAAATATTACCACTTTTCTTATACCAATGTTCGTTGCACACTCGTGGGATTTGCGAAGAGAACCGACAACCATTTTTGTACGTTGTTTATTTATTTTTTCTTGTTGGGCTAACGTAAAAGACGAATCTTGGGAAACCAAAAAATGTTGTAGTTCAAGTACACGTAATGTTTGATTCAAGTGTAGTATTTCTGTTTTTAGGTTAATGATTTTAAGGGCAATATAGATTGTTATTTGTAACCTACAAGTTTTAATTTTCTAACTAGGGTTTGAAAGTTGAATACTCCGACACTTTTTTTGTTGTGGTAAGAAGGAAGCCACGCAATGTACGTCCACAATTGGTTGCATTACTTAATTGGTTTCATTAAAACCCCACTTTTGGTCTACGATCTAGGTACGAGAGATAATGATAAAGTAGAGATCTAGAATTCGTATAAATAGTTTGAAGTTTTCATTTATTAGATAGAGTAACGTAAGGTAAAAAGAGACACTTAATTATAATATCTAGAAAGATATGCTTAGAGAAGAGAAGAAACGAATGTTCAGTTGTTTTTTTAAAATTTATTTTGAGTAAATTTGGATAAATGCCCTATTTTTTACTTTCCTTTTGAAAAATACCCTATTTTTTTTTTCTCTTTTAAAAACTATATTTTAATATATTAATAAATTACTAAAATGGCTTCAGTAAAATTTAATATTAATTAAAAATAATTTATACGTAAAACAGAAAATCTATTAATTTAGTTTTGAAATTAATATTTGAAATAACTAACAATTTTAATAATTCTTATTTTAAATATTTCTTTTAAACAATCTAAAATAATTGTGAATTCACCTATCAAGTGAATCATATTCCTACATTTGATTAAAATTTAATAGTTCATCATTACTTTTAAAATCTCTTGACTAAAATTACTTTTGATTGGATTTCCATTAGTTTTTGGTACTCCATCTCTAATCGATAACACATGTAAGTAAAACGAAGAATATTATGTTAGAGCTATAAGCCGTATGTTGATTTAATCAATGATACATGTATATTACATCATTCGACCAATGTTAAGTTGTAATCTACGTTAACCTTGAAATTGGAGCAGACTTTGGAGTTGAAGAATTTGATTGTTACGTTGAGATTTTTTTGTTTATACAATATTAAGGGATAGACTTTATAGTTGAAATTAATATTTGAAATAACTAACAATTTTGATAATTCTTATCTTAAATATTTCTTTTAAACAATCTAAAATAATTGTGAATTCACCTATCAAGTGAATCATGTTCCTAAATTTGATTAAAATTTAATAGTTCATCATAACTTTTAAAATCTCTTGACTAAAATTACTTTTGATTGGATTTCCATTAGTTTTTGGTACTCCATCTCTAATCGAAAACACATGTAAATAAAACATAGAATTTTATGTTAGAGCTATAAGCCGTATGTTGATTTAATCAATGATACATGTATATTACATCATTCTACCAATGTTAAGTCGTAATCTACGTTAACCTTGAAATTGGAGCAGACTTTGGAGTTGAAGAATTTGATTGTTACGTTGAAATTTTTTTTGTTTATACAATATTAAGGGATAGACTTTTAATATTTTTAGATATTATCTTATTAAATTTAATATCTTATATAATATATAAACTATCTTTATCTCAAAAATAATTATAAGGATAATTAATATTATTTTGAATTTTACTCTCAATTTTTGAATTTAGTTATAATTTTACTAAAAATACAGCTTTCAATTTAAATATAGACGAGATTGTCATTTTACATATAAAAAATTGTAATTTTCATTAGAAATAGAAAAAGGGTATTTTTCAAACGAAAACTAAAAAATAGGGTAGTTTTCAAAATCACCCATTTTTTTTCCACAATATAATTCCAAATTAATCACCACTAATTACCATTAATTGGAGAGGGACACATGTCAGATGCATAGGATGCCAAATGGCATGATAATAGAGCTTCTTCAAAAAAACCTTGTCATATTATATAAGATTTCATATCTTCTTAGAGCACATGCAAAACTTTTTTTGTGTTATAAGGGATGGAGACAGTGTTATAGTATGAATGAATTATGGAATATTTTGAAGGAGACGTGCATATTTATTAATATCATAATTTAAGTGTATACGACAAACTAGACATATAATGAGATATATTCACTCGACACGACCGTTCTTGGGTAGATGTATTGACATAGACATTATATTTATGTGTTTCAGAGTATAGACGTTGTGACTAAAGATATTTTTGCAATGTATAACCCGGTACCTACCTACTATTGATGAAATCTAGAGGGACATAAATCTTTGGTTACATGAAGGGAAATTTCTCAAATGAATTCAAAATCATGGATCTTGGCACAAGCAACAAAGTGTCGGCTCTGAAACGATAGAGACTAAAGTGGGGCTCCATCATTCTTCAAACTTGGTTTCAATGCTTAATTTTCGTCTTTTTCTCCTCCCTCCCAAGTAGAGTTGAATTAGTGACAAATATACTAACGTTGGGAACTCACTCTCAAATCCATTGGACCACCATCCACTTGGTATATATACAAAAAAAAAAAAAAAAATGTCCTTAGGGACCTAAGAAGTAAGATCAGGTGAAACTTAGTTATTTTTTTCTTATATAGATTCATATTTGATGTGGCAACTTAAAAGTGTAATATTCAATTGGCATACCTTTTGATTCTTAAGGTTATATATATATATTCTATTAATGGATGATCAATATATATAAATGAGACAAGGATGATTGAGAACCAAGTGTAAGAACGATTACATGTAAGTATGTAACATATCTCTTTAATTACAATGTTACTGATGAAAGAATATAAAAGGATACATCTCAGGTCGGTGGCGGATCGGCCAACAATCTGGTTGTTGCATTAAATTATATGAATGGTCATGGACGGACCTACATATAATGGTAAGTGGAGGAGGCCTGGGTAAATGATTTTTAGTCTCTTTTTTTTTAAGAACTGAAATTCTATTACATAGGAAAAACTGAATAATTAGAAGAGAATTAGAAAAATGGAAAGAAAATTATACATCAAACGATACCGAATAAGGACAGAAAATTGTACATGTAGAGTCGAGAGGAATTATGAACATTGTCTATAATTCTCAAATCGTCTTGTAGTGACAATTTTGTGCCGATCCAAGTCATCGGTTCACATATTCTAGCATTTTAAACATTTACTCTTTTATATATTTCACTGATTCCACATTATTTTTCTGTATGATCGGTTTACTCGGACTTGGATTATTTATTTGAAATATTACCACCATTTTTGTTTGAAAAAACGAATTATTCCCACAAAGAGTTGTATTATTGAATAGTACTCTTGCAATTAAAGTATTTTAGTAGACTTAATTTCTTCAGTTAGAACCTCGTTAGTTTTATTCAATATCATCGGTTAAAGTTGCTACCTCATTGTTAATAGATTTAATCTCTCTTTTGACAATTTGACAAAAATGCTATTAAAAATCTAATGGTGTGTTTCTGACGGATGCATCCGTCGGAAATATCTTCAATTGTTTTCCGACCAACTTCTTACAATTACGGCAATATGGATAATATACTCATTATCAACATGTTGTCTTTGTTAAAAATCACATATAAGTTATTAATTTAGTAATGGAATGTCCACTTATTTTCAAATATATATAGACCAAGTAAATACCCATAATTAAAAGTGACATGTTATATCGTCCTTGTATTTAGATGACCACCAATAAACACACCGTATACGATTACTAATAATGAACTCCATATACAATAAAAAAGAAACAAGTTACCATCACAAACTATGGAATCTTCATCTATTCTACAAAATATGGACCAATAAATGAAATTAAAAAAAAATTTCGTTATTATAATGTGGTTGCATCTTGATGACCATTCCAGTTATATCCATGGAATGCACCTATAAGTTATAGACCTATGGTACGTTCTTTACGTTCTTTTGAATGCATGTTTCATCACTGCACAATATTGTACCACGAGACTAGAGAAGCACTTGTTCTGATGTGACGCAACGTTTGCTGCCTAGAGAATCAAAGAGCGTGTATTCGACGATGGAGGGAGATTTGAGAGATATACTATGCAGACCCAAGCCTTCTTTATTTGACAAGCATACTTTCTTTATGTTACTTCCACAATACAATCTTTAGATCCTCCCAATACTTAAATTTCTTATTTACCAACCTTAACTTTCCCACCCATTTGGTTTATGCATACTATCTCTCCTCTCGTAATGTCCATAAAGGCGTCCAAGGTTAAAATTTTGTGACTGGTGGGATACAACATCTTCTATACTCTCTATGATATCAAAACAAATTATCCGGAAAAAAAACAATGACAGACATGACTTTTTATTCATATAGTTCAACTGAATACATGCAAACACATGTTACAATATGACATTATAAAAATTATTAAACTTTAATAATTTGTAGTTTTAGATAATAATTCATGAAGAAAAAAAGTTATGATTTGCATCATACCTTGACAGAAAACTTTAGGAAAGAAACCCTCTAGCGACTAAGAAGAGGAAGATACCATTATTTGAAAAACAAGAAGAAGAATAAGAAGAAGAGCAAGAAACCATTAAATATATTGTTTGAAGGTTTAGTATCTTCTTTAATCTTCTTTGTGCCCAACACTTTTGGAGGTGGATGGAGCATCTTTCATCAATACTGGCTCTTCCAAGTCGGCCTTTATTTCATCAAAAGTGAAACCGCGCTGCTGTCCGGAAACAATGAAAGCTAACCACAGTGAGTTTAACATGTCAAAATAACTTAAGATGTGATTAATAATAAACCAGTCTATGATGAACTAATAAACATTAAGATTCAGGTTCAGTGGTATTGGCTCAACGAAAACATTCCAAATTTACTAGACGAAATCCGGTATTACGTTAAACCGTGATATTGTAGACCAAATAAAAAACAACATTAGAGATTTTTGTGTAGAAATGTGAAGAAAGTTTGTGAATGAAAGAGATTACCATTAGCTCATAGCTTTCCATCTTTATAAGTTGTTCTGGCTTTAATTCGCCATCGAGAAGTCTTCTAGCTAGCGCTCGTGAGTTCTGAAAACAAACAATAAGACATCACAACAAATATATATAGAATGGAGGAGATAAAGGAATTAAACTAACCTTGAGTTCATCGACCATAATCTCCAACTTGTGATTGTACTTTGACATATCTTCTGCCAAAGAATCATACAAAACCTGCTCAAGAGCTCGAACCACCGGAACAACATCATCTGGCCAGTAAAAATCACTATCACGAGCTTGTTTCTTCTTAGTTGTACGACACTCGTCCTTAACTGCTTCCAGTAGCTCCTCCAATCCCTTGTCACGATCCGAATCACCGGTTAACAAATCAAAATCCTCCAAGATCGACTTATAAACCGTCCCGGCTTTAGGACTCCTTCTCTTACCTTTTCCCATATACTCTTTCTGAACAATTCTCTTACTCCTTGAATTCTTAGTCTTTTCGTCTTTCTCAATGTCAGGAAGATCACCAACTCGTAAAATCGTCTTTGCCACAAGACGATCAATCTCATTCTTTTGGTGCACGTTAAAGACATTATCAGTGAACTTCCTCAGCTTCTTCTTAACAAAATCATAAACATGTTGCACGATGAAGCCATGATGCTCACTACGGTTTGGGATTTGCTTATTCTCTGGCACGAAATGCACAACACACTTGTACTTAACAGATTCAGCAAACACCTCGTCGCGATGGAAACTGTAGAATAGGTTTCTTGAATCTTTTGATTCCCATTTTGCAACAAGTTTTTTATCAACATCCTCTAGGCGATAAAACCATTGGACTGCAAGTTTCACGTATTTTTCTTTGTTTGGTATATAAATATCCTATCCAACAAATAATTTGATCAAATGATTAGGTAAAAACTAAAAATCATATTTTTTTTGTTGTTGTTTTTACTAACCTTTATAATGGCACCATAGGGTTTGCTGTTGGGGTTGTCTGGAACCAATAGCACTGAATCCTCCTATAGGAAAAAAATTTATAATGTAAATGATAATGCAATTGAGAATAAACTACACAAACAAAACAAAACAAAAATAATTTTTTTAGTTATGATATAATTTTAGTCGTTTCACACATATTAAGAAAATTGGTGTATTGTTTTGCATATAATTATTTATCAATTAGTTTTTAAGTTTTTTCTTTGTGCAACTTAGCTTCTAAGTTTATAAATCGTTTTTATAATGATAAAACAATAATTGATATTCTGAAAAGTATTTGACATAGCTATATTGATTTAGAGAATTAATATAATTCAAACTGAAATGAAAAAAAAAATAGAAAGACAAAAAAAAACATTTAAATTCACCCTAGACGTGTATTATTTTTGGACCAGTTTTAAATACTAATATGTCAAAGCCTTTATAATAATAAATCAAAACGCAAAACAAAACTCACCAGTCCATATTGTGAGCCACGAAAGTTGAATGTCTTGTAATGACTCTTTTTCTTTGCACCCTTACCAGTAACCTTACTCACTTCCCCTAATGGCTGCGCACAATCCTCAGGTCTCCACTCTAACTCCATTTTCTTTGTCCAATTCGTCTTCCGCTTCTTCTCATGCTTTTCCTCGCAATCCTTCTTCCGCTTCATCTGCTTCTTCTCGGTTTCTTTGGAGTTCGAGTTCGACATATTTGACATCGACAATGCAACATTGTATTCATCTTGGCTCACTTGATTCATTTGCTCGGTCAACTTCTCTTTCGTTAATAACTTTCTGGTGCAGCTCATAGTGAAATTTGAGCTTTTGTTGAAAACTTTGATTTATAACCTACAAATTCGTTTTTCACCCTATAATCGAAGATAAAAAAAAAAGTTGACATCAATATGATAGTATAGTATATTATGCCGGAATATTTAGTGATATGAAAGATAATGTACGAGTGATAGGATAACTTGACATATCAACATAACACAATCTTTATAATTTTAACCAATTTAATATAAATATATAACTAATTAGCCTAACACTGAATAGTAAACATAAAAACAGAGAAACTAATAATCTAAAATACCCGGAAATATATACTAATATTAATCAAAAATGCAACTTAAAATCGAGTGGCCCATATATCTCGAAAAGAACTCAATAATACTAATATATATGTAATAATGATAATTAGATTTCAAGCGTATAAGAAATGAATCAAGTAACTCAAAAATAACTGATAAATATTTTGCTAGTTGACTACTTTAGCGGGTAACATGACGCAGGTCCGTCCCAAATGGGTAGGGCAGATGGGCAGCAGTACAAGAGCGTATCACCTTTAAAAAAATTTTCTTTGTAAAAAAGATCCATTTTGAGAAAGAAAGAAAACCCAAATAAGCTCACAAATCAATATATATATTTGGTAAAAACCAAAGCCTTTTCCACGAAAATTATGTAAATTAGCGTTCAAATAATAAAATTTCAATCAAAATAAGTTCAAAATATCATTATTTTTGTATAAATATATTAAAAGGCCATAAAAAGTTTTTTGGCGTAGGGTTCTAAAAATTATTGGGCCGGAGCTGACGGAACGAGGCAAGTAACCCAGCACAAGTAAACCTATTTTTAACAAATATTTATAATTCATATTAGCTTTTATAACATAATAAGTACTCGTACAAAATTTAGTTATATGTGGCATGAATGGGAACAAATAGATCTAGATACTTATTATACAAAATTTAGTTATTCTTATGTGATACATGTTTTTTCATGTCACTGCACTTGAAACACGCACACACACAAAAAAAAAAAAACACTTTTCACATCACATTAGATAAATGTATAAATAATCATCCAGAAAACGCCATAAAATACTCAATTATACATGCCCAAAAGAAAAACTAAATCTTTCAATTAACAAAAAGTTTACCAACTCGAAAATTACAAACAAATAAAAAAAGAACACTTGGATAATTCATATAATTATAAGTTACTTAGATGTGTACCTTGATCCTGATCTTTATCCCACCAGACCAATGTTTGGGTAGCTTTCGGCTTCGTATTACAAAATCAAACTACTCATGCACAACAAGAGAGCCAAATTTCCCGGATATGTTTTTGTGAGCCTCTTTCTTTTACACTGGTTTTAATAACCCTCTCTCAACATTATTTATATATAATAGATTTTCTCAACACATGAATACGTCAGCATTAGTACTAAATAAAAAGTATGTTTAGATTTTTCACTTTTAGATAGACTTAAGATGGAATAAAAGAGAGGTAAAAAGGGGAAAATGTAGGAAGATTTTGAAACAATTAAATAATATCTAATTGAAATGTTAACTAATTCCTTAATAACAATAAAAGCAAAAGTAATTTATAGGGAACATTTAAAGTTATTACAATGTATTTGGAGACTTAGGTTGATGTGGACCTGCACAAAAGTAACGTAAAGTTGGCTGGTCAAGAATTAGTTAGCTAATCCTTTTTTATGTTATAGCAATGCATGTATGTATTAATATTCAGTCAATAAAACAGTTGGCAGTAATATTTGTAAAGTTAAGTAACTTTAACTTTTTCAACAAAAAATACGCAATGCCACACATATTATTTCTATCTTAAAATTCTTCCTACAAAACCAACGGTTATATAAGGGAAGAAATCCACAAATTTTAAAGTTTTTTTGAAGAACACACCAATATTATGTATATCAAAGAACATAATTGCTAATGAAAGAAACAAATAAAGCACAAAAGTGCTAGTCAAACAAACAAGTACTCATGAATCGAGCCTATTTTGGTGATAAATCTTTCTAAACAAATTAAAACAGCTATTAGAGAATATCTCTTGTGCGTGGATATCACTCGCGGGAGATTTTTCTCGCGGACGTCTCTTCTTTTGAGTAGAGAGCCGGCCCAAAGATTATTGATGCATGAAGCCCAAAAGATTTTGATGCCCATTTATAATAAATAAAAATAAAAAATTGTTGTTATTTTTGGTGAATAAAGATCGAACCCACCACCTCATATCTGTGAAGGTGGTTAGATATGGGACTAGAGATGCATGAGGTTTCACGGGGTCGTCGATTGACGGGGGAGGTGTCCTGCGATCCGGTGAAGCTAAGCCACCGTCGAAGGTTACCTTTTCTACTCTCTACTGCTTCTCTCTCTCTCATGACTGACCATTAAGCCTCTTCGACAAAGGAAAGCTCATTTTTTTTCTTCCTCCTCAAAACGACTCTACGGTGGCATGATGTCGACGGATCCTGGGTCTCCATCTTCGTTCGGCTCGCATCGTCCAGGCTCACTGGATGTCCTGTTCCGGTAAGCATTCGCGGTTTTATTGGGCGACAGCTTCAAAGCCATTGCTCATAAGAACAACACAAGAACACTAGTTTCTTAGACAAATTTTCTTCTTCCCTTCTTCATTAATCGACATTAAAGTCTTTAAATAGAGAAACAACATGGAAACTACAATTACGGAAGTTGGAAGAGTGGGGAATATGCTCCTAGTTTAGAGGAGAAAACTATTTCTTCCTCAATTAATAAAATAAACAATTCTAATTAATATGCTAATAGATTTGCTCTCATCAAAACTTGTTGAATTCTTAAAATGAAAGCGCTTGACATAACCCATATAAGGATATGCAACTCCATATGAAGGGGGGAAACGCCCCTATGACCTAAAATAGTGGTTGCTCCATCTTGTAGATGAATGATCCAACCAACATTAGTTTCTCGATTCTCTTTGTTTCCAAGTGAAAATCTTGGGTTGTAAATCACTTGAATTATCTCCACTCCTTACTATTCACTAATGAATCTTCCTCAGATTTAGTCATGAACTAGGTCTCAGTTTTCTTTGACTGCTAAATCAAGTATCCCCAAAATTTTCCGATGATGACTTAAAAAAAAATTATATTTTTTAGTTTTTCAAATATACCAAAGTATCAAAAGATTATCTCGAATTAACTCTCATTCTTCTCCTAAATAAATTAGTTGGAGCATAGGGTATATTCGGCAGACGGTCATTGAACAAAGCATGGTTTATCGATTTCATAGTATCCTATATTCGGCAGACGGTCATCAAGATTCAAGGGCAACATTTATCGACTATCATATGATTCAAATTTAAACTCTCATTTGTCGCAATAGCACCTGACACTGCTTGCAAGCCAATATGAGGGGTTCGTCATCATCTAGATAAGATTGGCAGATTAAAACCATCTCAAATGCAATGGAGATAAGCTTCATTTAGACTCTTCGCTCCCATAATAATCTCTTCATCTCCAAATGCAAAAGAGACAAAATCCTTTCAAGTTCCGTTTGAAAGAAATCTCTTTCCCATGATTGTTGCTTCGTGATTTTTGGCTATCATTAGATCTGTGTTACAATCTCATTCTTGAAAATAAAGATATCCCTCAAAAGTGAACACTTTATATCATTAAAAATGGTCTCTCAGGCTGGTTCAAAGCCCCATTTTAGATATATAATAGGAAAAATCCCATTTCATTGTGACAAGTGTATCACCATGTTTTGCAATGAATTCAAGATAATAAAGTCATAGTATAAAGTATGGTAACTGATGTCCTATGTGTGGGTGGATGTGAGAAAGAGATGTTGATTCATATTTTATTCTAGTGTTGTCTAACGTTTCAAAGTTCAAACATGGATTCTTCGACAAATTCCATCAGAAGCACTAAAATGTTTTTGGCGTATCATCAAACGTAGATTAATCTGAAAGCAACTACTCCGATGAGAAGCTGGGAACGATGAAGTATTAAAATGTTTAGATCGAGAACCACACGATATCTTGAAGATCGCGAGGAACAAGTCTTGAACGTGGAAAAAATCGCCGGCGACTGATTTTCCAAGGGATATAGATCATATCCCACCAGCTACAGAGTACTTGTGTTTCAAATGTCATAGTGATGGTTCTTAGACAAAACGATATGTTTTAAAGGATTTTGTTGGATCTACTATCAGGGTGACAAAAAAAAAAGAGATAAATGCAGAATACGAATATCTACCAAAACAATATATATTCGTGCGACTAAAAGTATTCTCAATCGAAAATTAGCAAATATATATCTCTATTTTCTTGTTTATGATGAGTTTAGAGAGTAAAAGATGAGATTCAAAGTCCTCCAGAGAAGTTTTCGCACTCTTCACCTTACTTGCTGCTCTCATTAAGGGGAAGGTAGACTCCTTCTGCTGCCAACCAAATGTTATCTGCCTTCTTCTCCCGAATTCCACACACCTGTGTACCCAAAAAAGCGATTCCAATACGTTAAAACCTTGTTGAATATCTATCTACATCATGAGTTTCAAGCTTAGATGAGAAATAATGATATTTAATTACCTCTTGCTGACCACCAGCTATACGTTGGTACTTCTTGTCATGGCTATGGAGGTAGCCACTAGTGTCTATGTGTTGAAGCCGGACTCTTTGGTCCTGTTTCCATGTCTTCCCACTTCCTTCGATTATAAGCCTATGCGCAAATGGAAAGTAGCATGAGTTCTCAGGTGGATGTGGATAGACTAAACATTAGATGAGAATACAAATTGATTTTAAGGGATTATTACTTCCAGTGATCCCCGGTATCGGAATTTGTATCATCTCCAAAGCAGCTAACCTGCACCAAAAAAACGGCTTAGCTCGCTAACAATAAGGAGAATGCAACTACCAATTGAAACCGGCAAAGCACTTCACAATTCACATAGATCCGCTAGTAAACATCCTCTTACCACCACCTCTCTATATTGATTTCCTAGATCTAGCTGCCTTCCAAATTTCATTGTTTACAAATTCCAGAGAAAGATCTTTTGCATCCAATCTTAACGGATCAGCGAATACTTTTAAATGGAAAACAATACTAACCTCTAAGTTCCCTGATATAGGAGATGCATGCAAGTGACTGTGAAGCCATTTTCTGGTCTTCATATGCTGCAATCTAATGGTTGCTCCAGTCTTCACAGCATCACCTTGCTTGTCTTTTGTCCCAGGCACAGGTTTAACAATCTATCAAAACAAAACAATTGCTCAATCAACACTCCACCATACCTCACTAAAACAAGAAACTACACCATAGCTAGAATATTCCTCATCTAAATCAGAGCCAAAACACAGTATGAGATGATGCATACCCAATAGCTGTTGGAATCAACGACGCCTGGAAAACCAGTAACTGATTGCTGACCACTACCGGATCCATACGGCACATCATGAGAATGCAATCGAAATTTAGTTTTCTCGTGCATCAGCTTAATCGCACTTCCATAAGTAATCTGTCAATATCAGAACATCATTCACACAATCCTCCAAATCTATGGGAAACTAAAACCAAATCAACAGATTAGGGATTTCAAAAAACCACCTCGACACCTTCTTTACCAGAAGCAGCGGCGGAGGCAGTTGTGTAACCGGAATCAGGATCGAGACTTAGGTAAAGGAAGATAGCGAGACAGAAGAATCCTAAAGCCATCACAAATAGCAGACCGATAAACCAGTTCTGCTGCCAAAAGGGAAATTCCGGACTCGGTTTCTTCGCCGCAGGAGCTCGAACAGGTGAAGACGAAGGAGGAGATGATGATGATGAAGATGATAATGGCTTTCTTCTCGAGAGAGCTTGTTGTTGCCCGGACGTCGACGCCACCGTGAAGGATCAAATTGAGATCTCGCCGGAGACAGTAATTGGTTAATTTTCCGATTTGGTTCTTCGTCGTGCTTATGAGAGGGTCGTTTTCGTGTAGAGTAAGTTGATTAATTTCCTCAGTTTATGTTGACACGCAGGTGTACGTTTAGATAGCGAATGATATTTTAACACGTGTACTTTTGATGAGATGTCGTGTTATGAGTGGTGCATCAGATGTATTTATTTTTCCTTTTCTTTTCTTGGCTCAACATCAACATTTAGCAAATAGTGAATTCGTTTAACTTTATGCTTTATCGGTATTTCCCAATTTAGAGTAGACTATCATATTCATGTGACATACAATCATATTCATGTGACATACTATCATATTTATGTGACATACATCATGTCCACCAAACAATAATAACAAATAAGCAGTTCTAGATACAATAATTTTGAAGATGATTAAAAGCAGACCGATAGCAGATTGAATAGCAGATTAGGAACTAAAAAAAAAAAATTTTACACCAGTAGAAACAAGTAACAATGTAACCTATAAATACTTGTTGAAACAAGTAACAATTTGGTTCCAAATCTTTGTTTCATTCTTTTGTTACACCATGATGCCTATAAATACTTGCACCGACTATTTGCACCATGAAACCTATAAATACTTGTTTTAACTTAGGTTTCGGTGTGACTTCATCAGGCACGAATGAGAGACACTAGAAGCCTCCATCGGCGTTTCTTACTCGTCTGATCTCGTTCTCACCACCGTTTATCACCGAATTCATAATCGTTCACTTCTAGTCACTAATATGTTTTCGTTTACTATATCTACTTGCTTAAGGGAAAATAATCCAATAAATTTGTGTTACGGAGAAGATCTCTCAATCCTTTTTCATACTCATATTTTTTAATGCAATTTCTTATTCATATAAAGTAAGATATGTCCAATCATCCGAGAAATCTGCAAATCTATTCACGGATTCTTTACACAACTATTATGTTCAGGACACATGTCCATAATATTGGAATGCATCATTATCAAGACATATAAGATATGATCATGATCATTCGAAGAGGAACATGCATGGTTGCAGTCTTTTTACCTACTATGGTTTTTTTCACCAAGTTTTTTTAAAAAAGTTTATAATAAGATAATAGAAGATAATCACGCAAGAAACATAGTGACAATGGTTTTCAAGAGAGAGTGTTATAAAAATCAAAAGAAGCTGCGAACACAACAAACATACGTCTATATAAATGATGGAATTATATCGTTGTTATATACAATTCATTACTTCAATTATATATATATATATATATATATATATATATATATATATATATATATCGTCTCTATTTATTATTTAGTATCCCAATCTTTCTGCAAACTTAAATTTTTTATTATTTATATTTTATCCACTATAAAATAAAATACTTATTTATAATAATTTAAATATTTTTCAAAATTGTTTGTAATAAGTGAATTTTTATTCAATTTTTAAAAAAGGGTTTTGTGCAAAAAAAACCCTCCAACTCGCCCATTTTTGCAACTTTACCCTCCATCTCCGAAAAATGCAGATTAATACTACGAAGTCCAAAATAATGTGCAATATAACCCTTATACGTATATTGTAAACGTTCTTTCGGTCACATACATTGGTTTTTTAAAATTCTAAAAGTAGAGTTGAACTCTTCATCGCGAGGGCTTCGATTTGATATATTATTTGTCAAAATTTTACGAACTTGACGATAACGAATAAGGGTTACATTGCGTATTTTGGGACTTCGTAGTTATAATCTGCATTTTTCGGAGATGGAGGGTAAAGTTGCAAAAATAGGCGACTTGGAGGGTTTTTTTTGCACAAATCCCTTAAAAAAACATTGAAACTTATTAATAACTTACTACGACACATTTTACCAACATTAATGCTACGACGAAACGGCAAGCAGTGTTAATAACTTACTACGACACATTTTACCGTCGATATTGTTCGCCGGTAATATCATCTTCTCCGATTCGCTTAGCTCTCTTGATTTCTGGTGAGTGTCCTTCTCCTATCATCTCACCCAATAACCAGAAAATTTTAGATTCTTGTAACCCAAAACCTGCTCAAGCGATTCACTATTTCCTCACTTGTTTCATGTAAAGTTCGTATTTTTCTGGACTAGTGTTTCATGTTCAATAGAAAAGTCCAATGCTTTAAGTTTTTGAAACCTACCCAGAACTCAATGTGACCAAATTAGGTTAGAATTGAGACTAAAACCCTAAAAACAAACCATTAACATCTGTTTCTTGAAAGGTTTTCAAAAGCAATGGAATCTGATTGTTTGACACCAGAATGGGCTTCTCAACCTTGTCTAATTGGTATCGATGAAGCCGGAAGGGGTCCTGTTCTAGGTTCTTCTTCTTCTTATTTCTTGTATCTGATAACTTTTGGTGAATGAGAAGAAAAATTTGATCAATTTTGTTGATAAAACAGGTCCTATGGTTTATGGATGTATGTATTGTCCCATTTCCTATCAGTCTTCTCTTGCTTCACTCCATTTTGCAGGTAAAAGAACTCACTTTTCATTCCTTTATGTTGAATTATTGATATGTGTGTTTTGAGGTTTGAGAATTGAATAGATTCGTTTGTGTGTGTACATTGTTTAACCTTCAGTTGTTAGTGTAATCTTATGGTCCTGCGACGTTTCAGTTTGAGAGGGCATAAGTAAAAAAGTATGAGACTTTTGATCACATTTATAATCTCTCGACTCTTTTTGTTCCCGTTAAGCCTTTTGCTGCACAATGCTTGTTTATTGGGCGTGTAAGCATGCTACTGTGACGTTCCAATTTGGGAGGGCATAAGTAAAGCATGGAACTTTTGATTGCATTCATAGTCTTTTGTTGTTCCGCTGAAGCCTTTTGCTGCTATGCTTGCAGATTCTAAGACTCTGAAAGAGGAGAAAAGAGAAGAGTTATATGAAAACTTAAAGCTTGACAAGTCACTTGGATGGGCTGTTGATGTCATTGATCCCAGGGAACTCTCAGCCAAGATGCTCGCAAAGTTAGTAAAGTTATACTGTTTTTGAAGCTGAAAGATTTGAATGCTCAAATGGTTCTTAAGCTTTGGTTTGTTTTCAACAGAAACAAGACTAATTTAAATGGGATTTCACATAACTCTGCAATGGGGCTAATCAAAAGGGTACTAGACATGGGAGTTCTTCTGACAGAGGTGATTAGTTTTTTATGGAAACAGATGCATCGTCTTTTGAGAGATAAGGTTATATCCACAAGGTTTATAACCCAAAATTGCATTTGCAGGCTTATCTGGATACCGTGGGAGATCCCGAGAAGTACAGGATAAAATTGTCTGAGAGGTTTCCTTCGATCAAGTTTGTCGTTTCAAAGAAAGCTGACAGTCTATTTCCTATTGTTAGTGGGGCAAGTATTGTGGCTAAGGTAAATATGTTATGGATTCTTATTATCTATCTCAAAGCTTTTCACTAGCTAAAGTCACTAAAAATAATTACCTGCTCAGGTGACAAGAGACAGAGCGTTGAGAGAATGGTTGGTAGAGGAAACCGGAGAAGATATAAATAGAAACTTTGGTTCTGGATATCCTGGAGGTATATTTTTTCCTCAAAACCGTTTATGTTTTTAGCGTACACACTAATATGTTTGTAATGCAATTTAGATCCTGAGACAAAGGTGTGGTTAGTGCAACACAAACATTCTGTGTTTGGATTCCCATCACTGGTTCGCTTCAGTTGGGGAACTTGCACTACACTTTTGAAGGGCGAGGTTGAAGTTGCATGGTTAGTTTTCTTTGTTTTGAATGCTTATATGCTCTATTAGCTATGATCAAGCCTTAAGAGATCTATTTGAATCCTTCATTTATCTCAATCTGTTGTAAGAATCTGAATGTGATGTTTTGTGCACTTGAGCAGGGAAGCAGATGAAACCGAAGAGAGTGGTAATGGAAGTAGCAACAAACGACAAGCGAAACTAAGCAGTTTTGGGTTCAAAACATGCGATAAAAGGAGCGAAGAAATCGAATCGAGTGGTAAAGGGCGCTGCAAATTTTTCCAAGCTCGCAAAATCCAACAACTCACTCAGTTTTAGTCTCAGTACAAGACTGAATCCAGCTTCTAGGAGATGCCTTAGCTTATTATTATCTCTCTAGGTGATTGTTGTTTCGTTTTTTCATTTTGAACCCCTTCTGTTGAGAGGTGTTATTTATATCCTTTGTTTTACTAATTTCAAGCCCGGCCTGCTTTGGTATAATCTCTTCAGCCATGGACTAGACCGTCACTCACCCTGAGCCGGCCCGTGGTTAACCATTTGTTTTCCGAGGAAGAACTTACCTTAATACCTTTGCTTTCTTCTCCACTTCGGCCTTTTGTCAGAGTCTCAGAGCAAACGTTTTAGTCAACCATTCATTTATATAATATGATAAAACCTCTCAAACTGTTAATCTATAATTTTTTTTTTTTACGAAACTAAAATCAACAAATCTAGTTTTAGTTAATTGAACTAATAAAATATGTCTTGAAATTAAATTATAGAAGAATAAAAACTAAAGAATGCTTAGTTCTCTTTTTTCCTTGACTATATTCATTTCTTTTCGATATTTTAATGATTTATGTTGAATATACACATATAATTTACAGAAATAAAGAAGAAATGTTTTTACTCATGTGATTAAATATGTACTTTTACGGGGTTTTTCTTTTTACCGGAGTTTGACAAATAATCATGTTACTCTACGTATTAAAGATCCGGTTATGGGTTGCACATCGCCTAACCAAAAAATGTTAAAAGAAAAAGAAACATTCACTCTATTTCAAAATATATGATGTTTTGCTTAAAACCGGAAAGTTT